AGAGAGAGAGAGAGAGAGAGAGAGAGAGAGAGAGAGAGAGAGAGAGAGAGAGAGAGAGAGAGAGAGAGAGAGAGAGAGAGAGACGACTCAACACCCAGAAGCAAGGATGTGTGTGCGGCGCATAACATCAAGCAAATGACTCATCATTCTTCAAAGCGCAATATTCTCAAGCAGACACATAGAATTGTGCTCACCGTTTGCAGAATGGCATTATCATGAAGCTGGGAATACGGTGTGGGCTCAACTAAGCCCATCTCTCTTGTAGGTAGCTTCAGCTCTTCGTCCATCTTCAAATGTTCACGAGGTCTACTGCCACTGATCTCCAGCCCCTTTTCAACTGCCGCTAGAAGCCGGCTGGAATGCATATCTGTGGGTAGCTCCCAGATTTCCGGAGATGTATATTCCCGGACAATCGTCATCACAAACGGCAGTAAATCTGCAGAATGCTCCGTGCTGCTTCCTCTTGCCCCCAGCTCAATGCCTGCTTCTGCTGGATCATCCACCCAAACACCCGATGCTCCGTACACAATCTCATTGAGAACTACAGCTGCGGAAGCTGCAGTCCTCTGCAGCTTCCCTGCATCACCTGTGCCCCCTCCATGCACATCCATTCTGCTCTTTGCGTTTGATCCCGTCAGTCGGATCTGTTCAATCTTCTTCTGTGAGCTATTGTCAATCACCTTCCGCAGAGGGGCAGCAAATGGCTCAATTGCTGTTGCTAGCGCTCCCTCTGCAACGACGATAAGTTACAAGACAAAAGAAAAGAAAACACAGAACAGTGTCTGTCGGTTGTCATTGAACCAGCAGCACCAACTGCCACCAAGTGGCACCAACCTTTTTTCCTCTTTTCCAACTGCCAATGCCTGCCACTAACCAAATCAAGATGTAAGGTGATATATGTATCGAGTGTTCAAACTTCAAACAAACAAGAATGTTCCGGACAGCAATACAGCGGAGGTGGAGCACCTCAATAGAGATCCACAGCACCCGCAGAACTCTTCAAGAGGAGCCCCCTTGTGTAAATAATTTATGGGAGATTATAGCGAGAATCTGCTACAAGCTTCAGCTGAGCAGGGTTGCATACCTGCCGACCGCCAACTGTTTTGCGGCCGACCAGTAGTGTTGATCGGTGGTCTGCCGACCAGTCAGAAAACAGCCATCAACTGTTTTTTTTTCAAATCGGAGTTGGGGGCTGTACTGTGCTCACTGAGAACAGCCCAAATCCACTCAGAAGGCTTTGGGGATGGGGGGGGATATGGGAGGGTTGGGG